TCGCAAGCCAATCGAATCGAGACGATGGCATCAAGAGAAAGAAAGGCGGTTATCATGGTGATTGTTGTGGCTACAGTTCGGATAGCCTGCTACGCGCCAGGTTTGTGTTTTGTAATTGCGACAGAAGTCGATCTTTACTTCGGCATCGGCGGCAAACGAACTAACGTGTTCCATGCCGCCTGGTCCTTTGCCTTTCTCCTCCACTCCGTCAATTCGAGTATCACCTTTCTCCTGTACTACAAGACGAGCATGAAATACAGACAAACTGTACGCGACATTTTCCCGAGATGTTTTTAATCGGGTTGGGGGGGGGGGACTCAATGTCATTAGCATCTTGTGTTCAGAGCTATTGTTGTGGTTTTTTTTAATCTTTAAGTGTTACATTAAAAAAAAAAATAAAGACATGTTTCATTGAATCTTTAAATTAGAGATTGAGAATGATCTTCTCATGTGTAGACTTAATAAACTGAAATGATCGAGAGCTAACAGAACTCAAATATGTTGTTTTTTTTTTTTGTTTTTTTTTAAAATTTAATGTCGGTGGACTCAGGTGTACCAAAACTCGCAGTGCTATGGGATGAACCAACGGACTGCTCGCGTTACGGCCTCTGCATTTAATAAGCATGTTTGAAGTGTTTGTCTTTCATACACTCGAAAGTTCCTTTGAACCTATTAACCCGCTATTAACCCGGGAATTGTTTCTTCTTTGCCATATACTTTTTTTTTTTTTGCAAGCCAGTGACTTGAACTTTTCAAAAGTTTGTTTTTCTTCTTTTTGTGCACAAAATAATAAAGCATTGAATTCGGTCCATACTGCTTTAAGCACCCGACTGATACTGCATGCTTTTCAAATCCCGGCTGACCGATTCCGAACTCTGTCTGACCTGACTGCCCATTCGACGTGGTCACCACGGGGGGCCACTCTGTCTTTGCACATAGACTCCTTGAAGATTGCCAACACATGGCTACACATTTTCAACGCCACCCCAACCCCAATCGCCCCAAAAATCAGTTGTTGTTTTTTTTTTAAAGTGCAAGATCAAATAAATCTGATGCAACTGATTCCTGTGATAACTGATTTGATTCGTTAAAAGAAAAAAAAAAAATTTAAAAAAAAAAAAAAAATCTCAAGTGCGTTTTGTTGTTATTTTTTTTTTTTTTTTTTTTATCTCTCTCTCTCTCTCTGTCTCTCTCATTCTCTCTCTCTCTATGTCTCTCTCATTCTCTCTCTCTCTCTTTCTCTCTCTCTCTGTCTCTCTCACTCTCTCTCTCTCTCTCTGTCTCTCTTATTCTCTCTCTCTCTCTCTATGTCTCTCTCATTCTCTCTCTTTCTCTCTCTCTATGTCTCTCTCATTATCTCTCTTTCTCTCTCTCTATGTCTCTCTCATTCTCTCTCTCTCTCTCTCTCTATGTCTCTCTCATTCTCTCTCTCTCTATGTCTCTCTCATTCTCTCTCTCTCTCTCTCTCTCTATGTCTCTCTCATTATCTCTCTTTCTCTCTCTCTATGTCTCTCTCATTATCTCTCTTTCTCTCTCTCTATGTCTCTCTCATTCTCTCTCTCTCTCTCTCTATGTCTCTCTCATTCTCTCTCTCTCTATGTCTCTCTCATTCTCTCTCTCTCTCTTTCTCTCTCTCTATGTCTCTCTCATTCTCTCTCTCTCTCTCTATGTCTCTCTCATTCTCTCTCTCTCTCTCTCTCTCTCTCTCTCTCTCTCTCTCTCTCTCTCTCTCTCTCTCTCTCTCTCTCTCTCTCTCTCTCTCTCTCTCTCTCTCTCTCTCTCTCTCTCTGTCTCTCTCACTCTCTCTCTCTCTCTCTCTCTCTCTCTCTCTCTCTCTCTCTCTCTCTGTCTCTCTCTCTCTCTCTCTCTCTCTCTCTCTCTCTCTATGTCTCTCTCATTCTCTCTCTCTCTCTCTATGTCTCTCTCATTCTCTCTCTCTCTCTCTATGTCTCTCTCATTCTCTCTCTCTCTCTATGTCTCTCTCTCTCTCTGGGGTCAATGAGTTGGTCGAGGGGTTTTTATAACGTCCGTGTTGTTTGGAAGATTGATCGGTTCAGTGAAAGGTCAAGGCCGTGAATGTAAATTCTACCGGTAATAATAATCTTTTACTAACATTGATCTAATACCGTTTAAATGAAGAAGGAAAAAAAAAAGAATGAATGAATCCGCCATTAGGACTGTCCATCTTAAAGAATCGAATGGAAAATATGGGGTGCAGGGTGGGAGGGGGTGATGGTAGAATACTCGCCTTTCGTGCCAAATGTTTGAAAAATGCCCGAGTCCAGGTCGCTGTAGCGTGCTTGTGTTTGTGAATCACAAATTGTTTGTTTTATGTTTAGTTTTGGTTAAAGACTTTCTTTAAAGTAAATATATAAATGGTAGATCCCAGGAGCTACCCCAGGATCAGATGGGGGGGGGGGGTTTGGGGTACGATTTCGGGTGCGATCAGGGGCGTCATTCGGTAAGGGTAAGTGGACATTATTCCCCCCCCCCCCAGAATTATATGGTTTTATTAAAATTGCTATGTACTTATGGCACCTCCAGTAATAAACAACTCAACAATCTGGGCAACTTTTGGTTGCTCCCTCCCCAGGAAAAAAAAACCGTGATGACGGCCCTTATAGCGATCCATTCAATGGCTTTAAGTCGTACAATTAATACTGTTAAATAAATACATACATGTATAGTCACACATTACCCGGTATATTAGATATGTTTTTTGAAATTAGATTATTTTTAATCAACCGATTCAATAAAGCACTTTTCAATATTTAATTTAGAAGTGCTCTTACCACAATCTAGGTGTTTATTTATTCTTTTTTAAAAGCATAAAATAGCTATGACGACTCTAAATAGATCATATCATTCCATCAACATTGGTAGTTAGATATGCTGAATATAGTGTAACCTTTATATCACAGGCACCAATGCAAGAAATAACAGTTGTTGACAATAGCGAGGGCTTTACCCGGGTGTTTCATCCGGAGCTCGTGCCAGTGTTTTACACGAAATACATTCACACTGGTACGTTGGTCTAACACGTTGGCCGGCAAATCGCGGCTCGCGAGCTGCACGCGGCTCTTAAACGACCTGAGTGCGACTCGGCCAGCCGGCCACAAATCGGTTTTGACTCCGAAAAACATGGTTCTTGACAGGTTCTTGAAAAGGAATTCGGCTCTCAAAAAAAAGTTAAAATCGTCCTGCTGTTTATTTTGGGCTCTTTTGACTAATGGGTTTGCCGACCACTGGTCTAGCTGTAAATAATCGTATCCGGAAATTTGATCGAAAGAAATTTCGTCGACGGTAAATTGATTGACGGTAAATTGATCGAGGGTAATTTGATCGAATCTTTCTTTTTTTTTTTTTTTTTTTTTTTATTTTTTTCTTTAATTTTTTTTTCTTTTTTTTTTTTAAACTTTTTTTTTTTTTTTCTTAATTTTATTTAATTTTTTTTTTTTTTTTTTTTTTCCTTCAGTTTTTACGTTAAATTTTTCTTCCAATTTCTTTTTGAACGCATTATTTTGTTTTACTGTATAGTATAGTGCGTTCAAAAAGAAATTTGAAGACAATTTTAACGTTTAACTGAAAAAAAGTTTCGATCAAATTAACGTTGATCAATTTAAAGTCGACGAAATTTCTTTCGATCAAATTTCGGGTAACCGTAAATGATCTGTAGCAACAAGACTATGGGAAACTCATTCTTTTTAATGTAATATAGGCCTATACGTTACTAAATCCAAACACTAGACTGCACAGACGCTCTGCATAAAGGAATGAACAATGTAGAAGATGGTTCTATTAAACTCTTGTCATTCGTCTACACAAGTGAACCACAGGTATGGAGACAAGTATGGAGACAAGCATATAAACAAGTATGGAGACAAGCATATAAACAAGTATGGAGACAAGTATATAGACAAGTTTATTAACGGTGCAATTTTCCAAACGCGAACCCGAGCCGGTATAATTACACTTGGTAATGGCCTAGTTAATTGCCATAAGTGTGCGACCGCCCCGCCCCTCCCCCCCCCCCCACACCCCCAACGGGCAGGCGTATCTGTCAATTTGCATAAATCGTTAAGTCGAAACATGTTGGGGGGGGGGGGATATTGGAGGTCTGTCATGTCAGTGCCACGCTGGTAAATATTGTGTTTCAACGTTTTGACTGTAAGAGAAACTAGTAATAAAATAACTATTACATCGCGAACCCCCCAGCGTTACGCGAGTTTTTTTCCTACTGTCATCACCTGGTGATCACGTCTAATAAAATACTTAGGTCGGTAATGCTAAATGTTAAACGTCACTTGCTACTGGAAGCCTACGTTTATCTATTTCGAAAATGATAGCACACGGTCAGTAATAGTTTTTAATGAAACAATCCGTGCTCGTAATTAATTGACCAGTTTAGGTGAGGGGTGGGTGGTTTGGGGGGGGGGAGGTGGTGTGGGGGGGTTAGCTGTTGGGTGGCCATTAAGTTATTTCCCTTTAGTTTGAAAACCCATCTGGTTACTAGAGAGAACTGCCGATGGAGGCATCAGAAGCAAAAACTCTTCAAAAATGGAGAGTTCAATCTAGTTTTTCGATATATGGCAGAACGCCAGCAGCGAGCCATGTTCAAGGCGGGACTGGCTTGTCATTTCATACGGGTCACATGTCCGTCGACAGAAATCCTGTACCACGAAAAACTGATCCTCAAATGTGAGAGAAATGTTTGGTTTATTTATGTATTTATTTTTTTGGTGTATTTAAAAAAAAATAAGCAGGTAGATACAATGGACAAAAAATGTGTGCGTCTGTACCGTACGCACGTATAAGCGGTAATTTTAATGATATAAACTCAATGCCTCTATCATACGTTTCATATCGGGATCCAAGCGACTGAAACAACATCAGCTCGTCTGGTATAGAGGCTAAGACAAACAATGGAGACTGTTGACGCTGATCATGTGGTTTCTAAGAATAGCTCCTCAAATTTTCAAGCCGCGCAGAAAGTCGGTGAACTTTTGAGTGAGGATGGGATGAACGTTTTCATTTTGATAAATCACGTGATGCTGAGCTCACTCATTTGCCTGTTTGGAATCGTGGGCAACATTATAAATATGTGCGTGTTTGTCAAACAAGGCCTGGCCAGGGCATCGAACACAAGCTTCTTCGCCATGGCGGTATCGGATACCCTGGAGATCGTTTTCCAACTCTGGCACAACGTCTGTTTGAACCCGTACCTGGTACTAACGGATTCGAGCATCGCGTTCAATGAGATCATGTACTTGACCGGCGGATACCCAAGTTTATATTTTACGAGAACCACTGGCTGCATTGTCGCGTACATCACCGCGGAACGATGCCTGTCCGTCACATTTCCCCTGAGAGTCAAACAAGCGGTGACGACGGGACGAACGGCGGCCATATTAGTTTTTATCTACGTCATCAACTTTGAAACCATCGTCCCCATTTATCTGTGGGCGTATCTGAGCTGGAAGTTTTTCCCGCAGCAGAACAGAACAAGACTTGGAATATCTTTCAGAGATGACCGTCTGGGGACCGCGCTCGAGAACTCGTATTTTCAAAGCTGTTTGGCGATGATCTCCTTCGTGCTGGTCGTTGTGTTCACGAGTGTTTTGGTGTTCACGTTAAAGAAAAATTCAAGATGGCGTCGCAAGTCAACCACGCAGGCCAGTCGGATGGCGACGATATCGTCCAGGGAGAGGACCACCGTCATCATGGTGATTGTCGTGGCTGCCGTTCTCATCGTCTGCTACACCCCTGCCATTTCTTTTGTTATCGCGGCAGCGGTCGACATCAACTTCAGCATCACCGGCGGTCAAAACCGGGTGTTCCAAGCCGCGTGGTCTTTTGCCTTTCTCCTCCACTCCGTCAACGCGAGCATCACCATCCTCTTGTACTACAAGACGAGCTCGAAGTACAGACAGACTTTACGGGAGTTTCTCCCCAGATGTTTTTCACCGCGACGAGAAACCTAATGTCACTAGCAGCTTGTGTTCTTAGTTCAAGTGTTATTACCTTGATCGATTAGTCCCGAGGAAATGGAAAGAGAAAAAAAAAGCTATTTAATTGAAACTCTTCAGTCACTGAAAACAGTGGAATCGATGCTTTCTAAATCCTTCATATTAACTTCGGTTTTGTTCGTGACGTGGCTGGCGGACGGCTCATCGCCACACTTCCCGTCAACTTATCGAGCCGAAACATGGCATGTGGACGAGTTGCCGATGACAACACATTGTATAAAATTTTAAGCCCCAAGCCCACCCCCTAAAAAAACAACAACTTTTTCCTGTTTTTCAAGGGGAAGATAAAAAGAAATTCCCGATCATTGTGCTAAATGAAATTCCCGATCATTGTGCTAAAAGAAATTCCCGATCATTGTGCTAAAAGAAATTCCCGATCATTGTGCTAAAAGAAATTCCCGATCATTGTGCTAAAAGAAATTCCCGATCATTGTGCTAAAAGAAATTCCCGATCATTGTGCTAAAAGAAATTCCCGATCATTGTGCTAAAAGAAATTCCCGATCATTGTGCTAAAAGAAATTCCCGATCATTGTGCTAAAAGAAATTCCCGATCATTGTGCTAAAAGAAATTCCCGATCATTGTGCTAAAAGAAATTCCCGATCATTGTGCTAAAAGAAATTCCCGATCATTGTGCTAAAAGAAATTCCCGATCATTGTGCTAAAAGAAATTCCCGATCATTGTGCTAAAAGAAATTCCCGATCATTGTGCTAAAAGAAATTCCCGATCATTGTGCTAAAAGAAATTCCCGATCATTGTGCTAAAAGAAATTCCCGATCATTGTGCTAAAAGAAATTCCCGATCATTGTGCTAAAAGAAATTCCCGATCATTGTGCTAAAAGAAATTCCCGATCATTGTGCTAAAAGAAATTCTTCTTTAAAAAATATCGCCAGTGCGTTAGGTGCTTAATATTTTCTTTCTTTTTTTTTTTTTTCTAACATCGCCGATGAAACCCACCTGAGGGGTTCAAAGCGGATGGGTCATTCGAATATTAATATAGTTCAGGGGCGTGGGAAAAAAAGGTGTAGTTGCGGGTCTTGGGGGGGTTGGGGGGGGGGTGAGCACTATTTGGGAGTCTTATATAATGCGTTATTTGCACGCACGTTTTGTCAAATGTTAACCCCGCCTCCCCCCCCCCACCATGCTTGATATTACATTTTGTAAAGGATTTATACGAGGGGAAAAAAATGTTCTTAGGTGTTGTTTTATTAATAGCATTTTAAAATACATCATTACATGCAGATTTAATGAGAGGAAAATATCGATTCGACTATAGGTTGATTGATTCGAAATGCGAATTTTCTCAAAGGATGTTTATCCGATATTTAACGCGCATATATTGGTTTTAATCGATGAACGCGTGCCCATATCCTGTGTACACTTGACCCACATGACCGCCACACAACATAGTGACAGGGATCTATTGCCCCCCTCCCCCATCCCCGCAGGGGTATTGGGTGAACACTGGGACGTATGACGTGGTTCCAGACGTCATAACTATGTGTACATTCTTAGTACATCGGTACTGCAGAACTGGTCATGTGTATGTGTAGCACTTATAAGTAAAAATGTAAATTGTAATGAACTATAAAATTCAGCCATGTTCACCTTCCACATAATTTAAAATTTTACCTGATTCGGGTACTAATGTTAATGTGACCACACACACAAAAATAATAATAATCTCTGATAAATGTATAAGTCATTACTTTTTATTTATTTTATTGAAACTGCAAATTTTGAAAATATTTGCCATATTCAAAGGATCTTCAAAACTGACCTCAAGACACATCTCCTCAAACTCTAATTTACCGACTCATTCTGACCTCACCCCCCCCCCACTTTCCACCCCCACCCCACTGACTGATGAACACCGCTCGATGCTGCTGGGAGCCGTCCGTGGTTAGCCAGGGGTAAAAGCTACTAAGTCATTACTTTTTATTTATTTTATTGAAACTGCAAATTTTGTAAATATTTGCCATATTCAAAGGATCTTCAAAACTGACCTCAAGACACCTCTCCTCAAACTCTAATTTCCCGACTCATTCTGACCTCACCCCCCCCCCACTTTCCACCCCCACCCCACTGACTGATGAACACCGCTCGATGCTGCTGGGAGCCGTCCGTGGTTAGCCAGGGGTAAAAGCTACTTGTGTGGGGGAGGTCAAGTTTTTTTACAAAGCTGTTTTCAAATGTATAGCTTTTATTAACCGCAAATTGTGGTGAGCCCAGCTCCAGGCCAGGTTACTGCGCTAAATAAGACCGTTTTAATAATCATAATAATAATATATTTTGTTTTTATAAATTAACGAACAAAACGATGGAATTAGCCTATAGATGCTACTGCCCCATTAGCAGCCATTGGTACAGGGGTTTGTACTTATATTAGCAAAAAAAAAATAATAATAATTTAATGGTACTAATGCATGCAATGCAACAAACCAAGCTTAATTGATTATTTTTTTTTTTTAAAATCTATTATATATATTTTTGGTTTTAAAAAAAAACAAACTCCCCGTCAAATAAATGATAAAACAATCGCCAGTCGTAATTTCATGCTTTCAGTTGACGGTCACAGCCACACAGCCACACAGACTAACATTGTTTCACAATTCTTGGATTGTATCCTCAATGACGGTAAATTTGTGAAAAATTCTTTGATTGTATCCTCAATGACGTAAATTTGTGAACAACTCTTTGATTGTATCCTCAATGACGTAAATTTGTGAACAATTCTTTGATTGTATCCTCAATGACGTAAATTTGTGAAACAATTCTTTGATTTGTATCCCCAATGACGTAAATTTGTGAACAATTCTTTGATTGTATCCTCAATGACGTAAATTTGTGAATAATTCTTTGATTGTATCCTCAATGACGTAAATTTGTGAACAATTCTTTGATTTGTATCCCCAATGACGTAAATTTGTGAACAATTCTTTGATTGTATCCTCAATGACGTAAATTTGTGAACAATCCTTTGATTTGTATCCCCAATGACGTAAATTTGTGAACAATTCTTTGATTGTATCCTGAATGACGTAAATTTGTGAACAATACTTTGATTGTATCCTCAATGACGTAAATTTGTGAACAATTCTTTGATTGTATCCTCAATGACGTATATTTGTGAACAATTCTTTGATTGTATTCTCAATGACGTAAATTTGTGAACACTTCTTTGATTGTATCCTCAATGACGTAAATTAGTGAACAATTCTTTGATTGTATCCTAAATGACGTAAATTTGTGAACTATTCTATGAACGTAGCTGGGTAATTATACAGTGTGATATTTTTTTTTAAATGCATCATTTGCTTTTACTATATAGTAGAGTTCGTTCAAAAAGAAATTTGACGCAAAAATTTGATCGTGCGAACTGAAAAAAAGATTCGACCACATTGACGTTCGATCAGATTTTCGTCGATCAATTTTTCCGTTGGGGAAATTTCTTTCAAACAAATTTCCTGTAAATCAATTTCTAAACCAAACTATTTCCGTAACACAAAAGAAAATATTACGCATGAAATGCGCACTTGATTTTTTTTTTTTTAAAAAACATCATTTAGTGCGGTCATTTGAAATTTTCTTTTGCGCGCCACTGAGCCTTAGCGTTAGTGACGGAATTTGTTCCGGAGAGAATCACGTTCGTTCATTGTTATTTTTCCAACAGCCGATGCATCGTTAATTTAAAGTAAATTTGGACACGAAGCTTCAATGGCAGCTATTTTTATTTTACCACGCTATGCATTCAAAGGTTATATACAAACAGAGAATGGACGTGACATACTCCTTAAGGCAGGAGGAAACTATTTTATTTATTATATTTATTTTTTTTTTTCTAATTAATATGTATTTTTAGTTTTTTTCTTTTAGCTTTTCCCCATTGTTCCCCTGTGGCAGTTGCCTCACTTGCCCCCACTCTTATCGCCATACCGTATCAGTGAGTGAACCTGTGTATAGATACAACCCATATAATTGTCAGTTCGACAATTTGAGTTCATTTTCACGAGGAAAGCTACAGGAGAGTTCACAGCAAGGTCCAACATCGATGTGAGGAAAAATAGCGATGATTTTTCATTTTTAAATTTTGAAATTTGTTTTTACCCATTCAGGCAGCGCGTTTATGTCCCTTAGAAGGCAACAAATATTTGAGAACCACTGTCTTCTTTGATATTTGCATGATGTTAAAATGATGTGTAATGATGTTTTTGGCTCTTAACAGAACTTCCCACGGATAATTTAAATAAACCAAATAATAGATAAATATTCAGAGCTTCACCATTGATGTTTATTGGTGAAGCTCAAAATCTTGAAAACTACAAAAATTGACATCGTGGACCAATGAGTCAGAATGAGCAACATGATAAGGGCCCCAATACGAAGTGGGGGCCAGACTCAGGCTTCAAGGCTTTCAGTTTTAAATAAATGTATGCTTTTCGCAGTGTGTTTTGGTGTACGACAGCGACAGAGACATTTCTTTCATGACTTTGCTGATGACAGTCCAGTTTCGCAAAATCATAAACTACACAAGAAGGTGACACAAAAGTGTTTGCCGGCGCTGCAGTAACTCATTGGCTACTCTAAGGCAATGGTTCTCAACCTGGAATGCTTGCAGCCCACACCCTTCCCCACATGGATGTGAGGTGGCAGTTCATGATGTTGCGAAGAAGTGATTCAAGTAGATAGGGACCCTTGACTTTTCACTAAGACTGATGCTACAATAAAAAAAAAATAATTAAAACTTAAATAATAATATTTTAAAAATTCTTAAGTTAGCATTCTAGTTTGTGTTAATGAGTCATAAATGTATTTTCCAAGATCTCCAGTAATCTTCTCTAGTCGAGAAATAAATCAGAAGTCTATTTTTAATTATTTTTTTTTTTTTTTTTTTTTTTTAAATTTTAATATTATGTTTTTTTACTTTTGGAAGGGTTAGACTTCACCAAAAAAA